CTTCCAGGTGACATCTCTGAACCTTTCCAAACTCTTTCCACAAGCTGTTCCAAAGACTCTTAAACCACAAGATCAGGTATAGTCACAACAATGACCTCACTTATCTGGTATTTTGTCTTGGTTACTTTTCTCTCATTGCTGAGACAAAATACCAAGCAAGAAAAATTAAGGGAGAAAGGTTTATTTAGCTCACAGTTCGTGGAGGTTTCAGCCAATAATCAGCTGGCTCCAAGACAGGGTTACACAGCACAGGGGCAATATTTCAAGGCAGTAGAGAATATAAAAGACAGCAAGAGCAAAAAAGGGAGACAACAAGCCTCTTATCCTCCCTTATATTTTAAGTAGGCTACCAACCCCAGGGTGGGTGTATTACTCACTTCTTGCTCTCCTCTTGCACAAGCTGAGGATATTTACAAATAAGGACCCTGTATCCCTGCTGAGTTGCTTAGTTAAGCTTCTAAATTTCTCAGGTTGACACAATGTATTGCAATTGTGGGTCCCTCCATACTGATAAATCATTTTACTCTATGAAATCTACTTGCAAACACTTCAGAACTTTGGAATAGTGGAGGAGCATAATATGTCCATCTTCTTTCTTTAAATCATATGGCTGGTAGAATAAAGAAACATATACATAGGAAATATATTTTGAAACATGAGAAAAATATGTACAAAGAAAATATATTTTTAAAATGTAGATCTCACTACATAATTATATTCAAAACAAACACCAAAATATTAAAAATAAAGGTCAGTCTTTCCTCATTCCTCTTCATCTCCTGTCACATGTATTCCAACTCTGCTCTAAAAGTATTCATTTTGGAGAACAAAATGTTTTCATTATTTGTTTAAATGTGTTGTCTCTCAAAGGTTCAGAGGATGGCATTGCAGGTTTTTCATAACTGGAAATTAAATTCAAATGTGGAAAGTTAACAAAGAAGTCCCATTTAAGCTGTAAGCACATAGTATTTTAATATTTCTTTTGCTGTATCTCACATGTGGACTGGTAGAATACAGTGTAGTGTCTCTAAAATCTGGCTGGGTGAAAACAATGCCTTTCTTTGCTTTTCTGAAAAAGAATGCAAAACAAAAAAGTAGTGGTGTGTGTTACTGGCATGTGGCTTGAGAGGAAATAATTTTTTTCTAATTTTAAAGTAGATTTAATCAGCTCTATTCTGAGAATGGATTACTTTGATAGTCTGCTTTAATTTAATCAAGTAGAAAGAATCTTTGTTCTTTCTACTTGATCTTCTGGAGTAAAGTACACTGGCTCCATGTATCTACATAATACTGCAGTCTTCAAATAGTTAGAGGTCACAAGGAGAAAAGTAAGTGTTTAAAATTTCATTCAACAAATAGGTATTGATTGCCTACCGTGACTAACACTATATGGGTACTATAGATTCAGAGTCAATTAGATCAATTGAGCTCCTGTTCTCATGGAGAAGAGGAAGGGAGTTCTTGGGTTATGAACTACAGAAATCTATGGAGATAGTTATGGCTTCCAGTTGATCAGAAAAAATAATTATTAGTTCACTCTATCTCTCTGGCTCTGTTGTGCCTGTGCCTTCCTGATTCTCCAGGCTTATTACATACAATGGCCAAAGTAATCATCTCTGGATCCTACCAGGAATCACTGAACTTTACTAGTTCATTTGTTAGAAGCAGACACTGAAGCATAATTTAAAATGCAATTTTATTAGGTAAAATGCCTGAAGAAAAATGTGAAGGGAACTAGACAGGATAAGCTTCTGATCCCGAAGGAAATGCAGAGGGAAGGGTAGGTAAGTAGTTGGAAGAATTCCAGGTTGCTAAGCAATCTACAGAAACCTTGGTGCAGGACCCTTGGGAATCTTCAAGTCATGTCAGTCACCAGAAGAGGCCTGTCTCTCAGAACAAGACTGTCTTCATATCTGTGTTGCTTGTGTGCACTGGCTGGTTACGGCAGTAGGAAGTATGGCCTTGTGCAGATGTGGTGATGGATTTCAAAGTGCAGCCCAAAGCTAATTAACTTCCCTGTTTGAACATTTGTGGGATTCATTCTCACAGCAGTTAAATGATCCAAGAGGTAAGAACACAGCTCACTCTCCTACAGGATCAAAATCACTATTCCCAAAGCTGCCACCGGTATCCATGTTTAATCACTTGGCTATTTCAGAACACATGATTCATGGGATGGGGTCGCAAAGGAGCCAAAGATTGGGTCCAGTGATTTCACAAGCCCATGTGAAACCATGCGGTAAATAAGTTTACAGAAATGATGTTGGGAAAATTGCCAGATACTATTATGTTGTGAGTGTACAAACATATAAATAAAAAAGCATGACTGTGTGCAACAGGGTAACTACTTACAGTGAACAGGCATACCTTTCTGGCACCTATATAAATGAATAACTTGAAGATTAATTTTCCACAAAGTCCATAAAATAACTAGAATTGGATTTTGTTCCAAACCAACCTTTCAAGGATATTTAATAAAGCCTTGGAAAATAAAAATAGCACCTCCATCCACCGATGCCAACAAACCAAGTTTAGTATGTGAGTTCATCATAGTGTTGGCACTTTGCAATAAATAAGTGGGTTTTGGGTTGCAGTTTGGCATTTAGTGTCTAAAAGGTTTGTCATCTGACATAGGTCAAATGGAAGTGGAATAAATATGAAGTTCATGTTTCATAATGTACAACAAAGTTTTTGTCCTTGACTTAGTAGTTGTATCTTTTATGTTAGTATCCATGAAACTGTGGCATTGAAAGCAATGAATAAAGAATTAGATATGAATTTTAGAATGAGCACAGAAATACTTTGGTAATTAATTTAGAGTTAGTATTTTTTCAGGTTTCTTGCATATAATTATAAATACACTGACAGATAAAAGGTGTTTTTCATACCTATATAATTTGAACTGCTGATTTGGTCCATACACAACTAATACAGGTAGAAGAGAGCTTAGGAAATCACTCTCCTAAACTTGTTAGTTTGGACGGCACCTCCTTCCACTGTCCTAAGGGGTGTAACAAATAATCAGAAAATCTTTGTAGTTCTGAGAGCAATTGCATGCTGGACCCCCTGGACTGATCTTGAGTCACATTTATCCTATTTGAAACTTAATAGGGATTCATAAATACATCTCATCTATGTAATTCAGATCAGAGTGAATTCTGAAACAAGCATTGGGTTGAAGGACCTGAGATAAATGACTCAACACCCTGTTAATCATTCCTATCAGTCTTGCCTAAAGACCCGGGCTGGGGTGCACATCCTTCAAGATCTAAAAGCCTTTTTATCCGTGTGTTATGTACTTTTTGCTTTCCTGTTGTCCCAGCACTTTGCTATTCATGCCACGTTGTGATCAGCACAGATTTGCCTGGAGCACACATTCCTATGATCTTCAATAAATGCAGCTGCTTTTCACTTGCCATTGTACTGTGCACTTGCAATTCTTTGTTATATCCAAGAACCTGGAGTTAATCAGCTTCATCAACCATTATCTGGGGTGGGATGCAGAATGAATAGGGATTTCTATTATATTCGGCACATTTACTTCTCCTATCTTCCTCATAATCTCATAAAACTCTGTCATTTGATTTACTGTAACAATCTAATTTTAAATTCTAATTTACAGTCCTCTATGATAAATCTTTTACCTTGTCTTTCCAGTGTTACTAAGAATTGGCATGGATTTCACTTGTCCTAGTTTTTCCTTGAGTCAGTAAATAGCGGAACATTTTCTAATTATATCTAAAGAATATGGAACTAATTATCCACAACTTGATAGACTAAAGCTTGTTATTGAAATCCTGGGCACATATTTATGTTTGTTGATTCTAGTTCTATTCTTAATTATTCCAATTTTATAACTTACCCAATTTTTGCTTTACTAAGTTTTTTCAAACATTCATGACAACTTATCTAGCTTTAAGATAATCCAGTGTACCAAATATTTATTTGAAAGAAGTAGAAGACATGGGGCTGGGGATTTAGCTCAGAGGCATAAGCACCTGCCTTGCAAGCAGGTGGTCATGAGTTCGATCCCTGGTACCGATAAAAGAAAAAAAAAAAAAAAAGTAGAAGACAAAACAGTAACATAACAGACAAATCTGTGCTATTCCTGCCAAGGTAGAAGTTTCAGAAAAAATACAATTTAGACCAATGTCTTTCCATTTTGTTTTTGGAAGGGGAGCCAATGATATATATCTGTTGAACTTTTCATTAGTTGTCCAAGAGATATGCCAAGAGTTACACCAACTACAGAATTATCTATTAGTTTTCAATTTTTTTCCTGACACAGTCTATAATGTCTAAGATAGTGCTTTGCAGTTTTTAAAAAATACATTAAGTGCCTAAGAATTTTTTAAAAAATGCAATGTGTACTTGCACCAAAAAGATTTCAGCTTCCAAAAGAACATCTTTGAAGACAACAATGTGCAAGAAAGCAAGAAACAAACAAGTAAAAGATAGCAACTAAAATAGAAACTTATGTATTTGTGGGAAATTTTAAAATATAGCTATAAATTAATCCTAGGAGAAAGAATCCCAATGTGAAATATTAGAGTATCTAGACAGAAATAAGAACACTCACTGCATGATGAATACTTTCAGTCTATATAAAAATCAGAGAGGAAATGTTAAAGCAAATGCTTGTAATACCAAGAACACTTGAAACTAAATAGTAACTAGCAACTTAAGAAGCCAAGGTGGGGGGAGGGAATCCACTATATACAGGATTTATATAGTCTATAAAGACTAGGAATTAATGACAAACAGAAGAAAACCAGAACATCTGGGATGATTTGATAAGGTCTATCAAACACAAAACTTTATCATGTCTGATCAGACAGGTTAGTATATGAAATCAGCTTTTGTCCTATGAGAATTAGCTATGACATATGCCAGAAAACCTCACTGATAAAAACAAGTAATACTGTAAAATTCTGGGAAGACATATAAAGAACTTGAAAAGAGTAAAACTCAATCTTACTGAAGGACTCAACAGACTTGACTAAGAACTTAACATTTTTATTGGTGAGGAAAACTACAGAATACGGTTGTACTGCCATTGGATACGGCCCCAAAGCATTTTTGAGATAAAATCAATTTTTTCATGCATCCAAAAGACATATATAAAGATTAATCAATACAATTTTGTAAGTACACAATGTAACTAGGTATCAAACTGTATCATAAGGCTGTTTTAGTCATATATTGTTTAACAACTGAAATACATTCTGAGAAATGTGTTTATTTCATTGTTGGGTACTTATGCAAATACACTTACGGAAAGGTAAGTGGCACAGCCTTCTTCACACCTAAGCTATCCGGCATAGCTTCCCTCAGAAATGTGGTCAGTCACTGACTGAACTATTATATATCACACAACTGTATTAGTTGATTATGTGTCTGTGACAAATCATTACAGAATGAATAAGAAAGATACAGCACTTTTTTACAATGGAAACCTACTCAGCCATTAAGAAAAGTAAACATGAAGCTCTTGCAGGTAAATGGATACAACTTGTGATTGTGCTCTTGGGTGAAATGGTTTGGATTCACACAGTTGAACATCATATTGTCTCCCTAGTATAAAAAGCTAAAGGAGTTAGTGGAATCCAAAATGTACAATAGACATTGTGAGAGTGAAAGGGGAGGAAACATCTAAAAAGAGAAGATGGTAGTCACTGTTAATTTCCTATTATTTTGAGGTCTTGTATCACTTTCATTACTATGTTTTGATTGGCCTTACTCTGTCTTGTTTGGTTTTTTCTGATGGCATGGGCTGCTATTTTGAACATAACATGATGTATCATGGTACCAATGTCAATTTCCTATTGTTTTAAAATCCTGTATCACTTTCGGTTTTGTTTTGATTGGTTCTTTATTTGATTTTATTAGGTCCGATGGTATGGGCAGCTATTTTGAAGGTAACAAGAGACATTATGGCAGCCATTGTTAATCTCCTATTATTTTGTTTTGAAGTCCTGTATGGCTTTCACTGTTTTGTTTTCCTTGGCTTTATTCTGTTTTGTTTGGTTTTATTCTCTTAAAAAAAAAATCACCAGACTTATGGCTTAAAAGAACAACTACTGTGCAGTTTGAAGTTGTATCAGTCAGAAGTCTAACAGGCTTGGGGTAGATTCTCTACCTGCAATTTCATACGACTGATACTAACTTGTTAATAACTAAATTCTTACCTGGAGAATCTGAGGAAAAAAATCTACTTCTTGGACTATTTTTATAACTGGCAGAACTCTGTTGTATGTAGTATAATTTTGCTGCTGGCTGTTCACCAGGGGTACTTCTCAGTTAATCAGGCCCATGCCACATAGCTCCTCATCTTCAGTTAGAAAGCGCCTACCTTCTATCATGTTTTCCACATTCCAGAACTTTCTCACTTCCTCATCTGTCATCAGCTGTAGAAAATTTTCTGGTATTAAAGAGCGCCATGTGATTGCATTAGGTCCACCTGGATTCCTCTGTGTTTAAAACTTTGTACCCACATAACATAATAGACACAGAGGAAAAATTTGAATCCTTAATCATGAGGATTAAGATAATAAATCTCAGGTGCCACCCTTCTTTCTTCAAAGTGGCATTTTTTTTTTTTTTTTAAGTAAAACACAGCAGAAACAATACCCGAAGCAAAATAAAAACAATGGGATTTGGTTTTTTTTTTTTGCTAAATTGCAATGTTTCTTTCCATAAGTACCATTAATTTGCTATTTTTCTTGATATGCATGGAATATTTAGAATTATTTCACTTACTTCCCATATTGTCCAACAATCTCAATTATAAAATTTAAAGTGAACATTTTGTGGGTATTTCACTACATTAAATCTTGGTAACTTACTTTGTTTCAACCCATTTTCAACACTCATTTTGTTCTAAGTAACACTTCTAAGAAAGATAATGAGGACTCTTATACAATCTTTAACCTTTGTAGAAAAATGAACTGAAAACAGACTGCAATTAGTATATTACTTAACGCCCTATACAAAAATAGTTATGATTTCATCAGTATAAAAATTGAATTAAAAAGCGTATCTTGTAAATCATTTTTTGTATATCTTTTTTGTGTATCTTGAAAACCTTATAGTACTTTATACTTAATAACATCTTAATTTGGACAAGTCATTTCAAAAATTCAACTGTAATGAAAGACACTAGCTAGCATATTTCTAGTGTCTGACACATCTCCTTGTAGACCAATGCTGTGAACCGTCAAACACCTTAGAAGTCTTCCTCATATTCTTACAGATTAGACCAAGTATACCACTAGCAGAATTTGCTCGGTATCAAACATTAAACTTTGAGACTAGTGCTTTGTCTGTATTAGATAGAACGGCACCAAAAGTGGCAATCATTCATCTATCTGCCAATACTAATGTAGGTAACTGGAGTGGTTGATCATTTTCTTCATGGCACATGCCACAATTATTAATTATCTGTATTTCCATATTTGTATTGTATGTATGTATATATGTATGCTCTTCCTTTAATATTGCACTCCATAAAAGAAAGAAGTACAACTTTCATTACAAGAACTGTTTATATCCATCTGTCAAGAATTAAAATATACAAAGACGGAAGGATATAATAGTGAATACTATCTCTCACTGGACATTCAACAGCGACATAGTACTTAAGAAATCTAAACTCCAGGGGTTCCTTTGGCAATTGATTTTATGTTAAAAACAACAGCAACACTGTAGCTATGATAAAAGAAAACTAAAAACTGAAAAATGTACTGAGTTTTTTTTTTTTTTTTTTTTAAAGCAAACTAAAAACAGTGTTTGGCTAAAGGTAAAACTCATTACCAGGAAAAAAAAAATATGCTTTTTTTGCTACTGTTGAGGGTATAAAAACAATTTTATATTGCAACATCTCTAAGAATCAAGAATGAGAGCAACATTTATCACTTTCTATACACAATAAAATGGTACTTTTAATACTGGCATTACCCAGCACAAAAACTTTCCAACTACTACCTGAGTATTCCCTGTTTTATAAACTATTGGCACACATAAGCATTTCATATCATTCCAAATATTTATTTCTCTTTTTTGTATAGTCTTGACAAATGTTATCATATTTAAAAAGTCCTAAATAAAATTACTTTTTTCTTTTCTTTTTAGGTGAGCATTCCAGAACTGGGGAGAGTTCAGCCTCTTCACTGTGTTTTCTTTTCTTTTTTTTCTTTTTATGGTCACTTTGGTAACCACTGGAGTCACTACCTTGGAGAACAGGGTCCTGATCCTGATACTCCTGCTGCTTTTTCTTCTTCTTCTTTTTCTTCTTTGGCTCTTCTTCACAGAGATCATTCACAGGATTACTAATCTGCAGGTCTGCCTCTTCCTTTGGAGTCACATCTTCTAAATCTGTGAGCTCTGTGATGCTAACATCCACTTCATCTGTTTCTGGGGCTTTCTTTTTTTTCTTTTTCTTCTTCAAAATTTTTTCAACAGCTTCATCTGTGACAGTTTCTGCTACTTCTTCTGACATTCCAATGCACTTAGATTGTAAACTGCAAAAAAAAAAAAAAAAATCAGTTATATTAACAGTAACAAGGAAAAATAATGGAAAAAATGAGAGGAGGAATAGTCAATATACAAAAATTTTCTAAATAACACTATAAGATCCAAAACAATGACATAATTTCACATATTCTATCCTGTTATCTTTCACCTATCAATACATCTATGGGCTACTGAACCATTAAATTCAATGGTAAATTTAACATTAAATGTTAAATTGTGCTTCCAAGGTATTTCTCAAGAAGTCAAAACATGATTTCTAAGTTTTGGCTTGGTTCAGAAAAATTTGTCACTAAACATTAAATTCAGGCTTATAAACCAAATACAGAAAATCTGATAAGAAACACAATTTCTATATATATTAATGCAAAGGAGTTTTTTGGCTACTACTTTAATCCTCCTTTCAAATATGATGAACCTACCTAGCGATATTTAGTTTTCCTCGAATGCAAAACACTCCAGCAGCATCTGAGTCTAAACGAAATACTTCAAATTCCAGTTCATCACCCACGTTTATCTCCACAGTATGCCACTGCTCAGTAGACATCTGCTCAGGCTTTGGGATGGAGGCATTAAAACATCCATGTACGAGACAGCCAATATGGCTAGAAGATACTTTATTGACTATACCCTGGGAAGAAAGAGAAAAACAAAAACAAAAACAAAAAACAGCAAGAAGAAATCCAAAGAATTAATGAGTGAATAAAACTTTGTAACATTCAAATTAACCTTTATGAATACATCCACTTAATAGCATTATTTAATATGAAAAAAGTTTAACTCAATTACAACTTACCATATGCCATACCAAAACATAACTTTGGCATACTACAGAATTTTTAGAAAGCTCAAACTTTATGAGGTAATTTTATGTCAATTGTTTAATTAGATAAACAACAGGTAATCACTCTGGTTCAAACTAAGTCACTTTGGTTCAAACAGGCCTGATTCAAACAAAAAAACCCTAAGAAGACCTCCTTGGAACTAGATTAATCTATAACCACAGATTATAAACAAAGCAGAAAATACTGTAATACAACCACAGATTATAAACAAAGCAGAAAATACTGTAATACAACCTACATGTAAGAAGATCTCAAGATAAAAAGAATATGCTTTTTATCACTGGGATCCACATTACATTTCTGGATGCAGGCTACATTTTAAAGCTTAGAAATACATTCTTCAGTGATTCAATTTAGCATGATACAAGCAGTCTTTATTAAGAGACTGTTTACCCATTATGTGTATACATATTGAGGATGGCGTTTTAGCTAAATCACAAAAACAATGAAACCAAGGTGTGTTTTACAAGATTTTTAGGCCCAGTATAACAGCATAGCAATGGAAACAAAACACACTAGCACCCATTAACTGGCCCCATGAGTAGACTTTCCCTCCCACAAGGTGATAATGAGGGAGTCCCAAAAATCTCTATCTGCACAGAAACCAGCACCCTGCCATGTCAGCAGCAGAAGAGACCTGTTGTTTTGAGTTTGCCCTGACTACTGGGGCTTCAATACAGGTCCTTTGAAATATTAAAAACAAATTCAGAACACTCTGATATTTTTAAGCATGATGGTTAAACCATTCATACCTTTAGTATGGGCGCTAGAAAACAATTAAAAATAATAATTACATTGATATATTAAACAATAAGATATACAAAAAAGAATGGATCATTTGAGTTGGGAACATCATTGAAAAAAAAATCAAAGATCTGCATAACTCACAATCTGAAGAAGAGATAAAGGTAAAAAAGGGATATAGATTGGTCAGTTTTTCCACTATTATAATACTTGAAACTTGCAATTCAAAGCAAATGAGTTTTATTTTGGCTCATAATTCCTGAGGGCTCAGTGCATGGTTGGCTCCAAAGCAGAAACACAGTTTAAAGATGTGGCAAACCAAAGCTAGGAGTTTGTTAACTGAGTCAATCCAGTCAAGTCAACAATCACAGGTCACCAGCACAGCACAGAAAACCATTCAGTGAAGTAGCAGTAGAAAATTTCCCAAATCATTTTAAAGACATGAACATCCAGGCATACAAAGATTCTAGAACCCAACCTAGAAACAACTGAAAATAGTTCTTCCACATTGTCAAATTATCAAAATTATAGGAAAGAAGAGTGTAAAATTCTGCAAGAGGTAAGTGCCGCATTTAAAGGAACTCATTAGATCCCTTAAAGGTTAGGAAGGCACAGAGCATAGACAAAACAATGTACCTCATGTACTGAAAGAAAAGAATTGTCCACCAAGATTACCACACTCAACAAGACTATCTTTCAGAAGTAAAAGAGGAAAACTTTCCAAGATAAGTATAATTGAAAGGAATTCATACAACCAGATCAACCTTACAAAAATATTAAGTGAATCTAACACTCAGAAGTAGAAGAAAGATACCATCACAAGAGCATAAAAAATAACTCCCACTAAAAGAGCAGATATACTAAAAAGGAGGAATCAAGCATTATCAAAAGCAAACCCATCAAACCAAAAAGATAGAGGAGGAAGACATGAACAAAGAATACTCAGAACTACTAGAAGAAAATAAAATTTCAAGAACTTTCAATAGTTACTCAAATTGCAAAGAGACTTACTTCTCTTATTAAAGACATCAACTGGCAACCCAACAATACACCAATATACTGCCTATAAGAAAGTCATCTCACCTGTAATGACACATGAAGACACATGGTAAAAATATGGAAAATGAAATTCCTTGTATATGATACTCAAAAGCAAAGGGTACCTATACTTGTACCCAAGCAAACAGATTCACAGAAAATTTTTATGTATTTACAAAATTTGAATCTCCCTCTCTCTATATATCTTTATCTACACATCTTTTCTGTACATATGTGTATATATATATATATATATATATATATATATAGAGAGAGAGAGAGAGAGAGAGAGAGAGAAATTATATCTGTGTGTGTATGGTCTCTTCAAGTTTTCTAAGTTATATAATTACAGAGAAGAAGCTAGGGAAAAATAATATACATACCATAAGCTTTTGCCCTGGTTCAGGGCAGAAAACTACAAAATCTGCTTCAATGTTAAGATGAATGTGTCCTTGATCATCATAAATATCTCCCAGTTCACCCACAACTTTGATATTATCATATGCAATAGGGACACCTAAAAGGCTGTTAAAAAAGAAAAAAGAAAATAATTCCTGATACCTTATATCTTTTTTTAAACTAGGCCAATTCATACTAATTAGACACAGTCTAAGAGTCCAAAAAATATACATCAGCTAAATGATCAGTCATATCAAAAACATATACTGTATGCCTCATCTGTAACAGCTTTAGCAGTTTGTCTTCAACAAATGTTTCTAATATGTTGACTGAAATAAACTGATCCTTTTTCCTCATTTGAATTAGTTGTGCTAGGGAAACAAAGTAACTTGGATAAGGAAAATATCTATATTACTGCACACACACGATTTTCATATTTTCCACCATTACTGGATTTCTGTATTTGATAGCATATCAAAGGAAGCATTACTATTGCTAATGAATAAACAAAAATCCCAAATTGCAACTCTTGCTTATAAATGGAAATGTCAAGACATACAACTACATGATTTATTGAGAACTGACTTTAATGTTTTAGTATTTCATACTCAGAATGAGCAAACTACTATTATTTCTAAGTATCATTTAACTATGCAGGCCAAAGAACTGTTGGCTTCACTACCATATTACTTACTTGGGAAAATTTCCCTGACTCTCCAAACCAAAGCTAAAAGTTAAAATCACTCTTCTACTTTACGTATAAATGTATCACTGTTCTAAATCTAGGTCTGTCCAATTCACTGTGTATGTTTGGATTCCACACACAAATCTCAGGCTCCTTACAGAGAGTACTTTTTTATTGAATTCAAATTTCTAGCATGAAACACACAGAATAAAAGAAAGAATTTATCCCTAGTAGCTTTTACTATACCAAAATAGCCAAAGGAAAGGAACTGTAATAACTTATTATAAAGGAAATTATAAATTTAGTTTATAATTGAAAGCACTCTTGAGTTGTTACTTTCCTTTGTGGCTTTCCTGAACAGAAACTATCCTCTCACTGAGAAAATCTTAGGCACTGGAAACAGGAGGAAGAGGATGAGCGCAAGTAATTGCTAAAACTGACTGAAAAAAATTGTATCATTTTCTCTAATCAAAGACTTCTTTACTATCAGTAATTCTGAAGTGGAGGGATCCTTGCTTTTTTCTTAGAAGGTAGTTGGAAATTTGTGGAGCTATTCATGTTTGTTAAAAACATTGCAAGAGCTGGAGGTTTAGCTCTGGGCATAAGTGCCTGCTTGGCAAATGCAAAGTCTGGGTTCAATCCCTGGTACAAAAAAACAAGTAAACCAAAAAAACAAAAAAAATTGCAAAAGCCAGGGAAGGAAGTCTGCTATATACACAGGACAGTTTTGTACAATGATGGAAAAGTCTTACCTCTGCCCAATTTTTTGAATATGGGGACAAATGCATTAATAAATAGCTGGGGTAAAGAATTTAACTTTTTAAAAGTAAATATATCAACACTAAGTCATCTTGGCATATATTAAAAATTTTTAGATGGATTACTACGTAAATTCAAAGATACTCTCTATAAGACTTTCGCAAGAACCACTCAATTATTTAAAAAGAGCATTGATGACTTGGGAAACTGTTTTGAGTCGTGGATGTCAACTGTCCACATCAATCCACATTTTACTGCCATATTCACAATGCTTCACATGTAGTGGTGCAGAAAGAACCTAACTTCTTTAGTCTTCCCAGACAGCCATGTTGAGCATCACGTTGAAGTTTACTATACTGTATTAGAGCACCAAATTTTCCTGTAAATTGTGTAAGTAGTTATATCTATCAAAGAAGGTCACAAGATCCCATTCATTATTTTCTTATCGTAACTTTAGATTTGTCAAATTTTAAAAATTCACTGGATTTCTTACGTGAGTAACTCCACCACAGCTTAAAGCTCCTTAAAATGAAGACACTATTTTGTTTTTATGCCCCAAGTCCCTAGTACGTAATATAGATATAAAACAAATGTTTGCTGTGCTGTATATTCTACACATGCTTGGGGAATTCAGGGCAAGATCCACTGAGAAAGAGGTGAAAGCTTTACGTAATTTGCTTAACAAATTCAAAGGAAATTCCTGCAATATCTGAGGGTTCATAGAATTAAGGACCAGCAATGAATCTTCGGGGAATCTATTTGCCCTATTTTCTGAACTCTTCTATTAAGCCACAGTAGTTCATAGGAATAGTAAGACACATATCCACTTGTAATTTCAACTTACTTTCGTAGGACTTAATATAATGCACCTTTTTTTTCCTCATTCCCAAGACCAACAAGCTCACCAATTAGACCGGATAAACTCTTTTTAAAAATATTACTTTCATCCTCAACCATGTCCAAGGGAAGAGAACCCAGGTATTATCAGCGCCAAACAACTGCCTATCTTGTTTTAAAATGAAACAATTCCACGGGTGCTTACATGTAGTCGTCTACGGAATGAGAGATTTTTCAAGTACAAGTACCAAAATTTCCCCGTCTAATGAGATAACATCACCCCGAAGGAGCTAAATAAAAAGTTAAATGCCAACCCGATCTCGGCCTAACAGGTCTCCTGAACCTAGTTTATACTCATTTTCCTCCCTAAGCGAGCTTCCACATTCCCGCCGACGCCACTTACACGTCACCTTTAAATTTTCTTTCCTGCCTATAAAAAGGGACCCCTGGGCCTGGGCAGCACGGCTTCGCTGGGCTACCTGGACTCAAACCTGGACTGAAGGTCCGGGTGGCTGGTGTGGCTTTTCACTGAACCATTAACACGTGCAATCGCTCCACTTTCCCGTGCTTAGAGAAAGCGTCAGGTTACGCCCCGGCGTCGCCAGCTCGGAGAATGAAAAGGCAGAGACCGGTACCTTTCGGAATAGCGAAGGAGCTCGGCATCTAGCTGCTCCCGGATGCCGGTGCGTTTCCTGTTAAGGTAGCGGGGCGACAAGGCGATGTGTCTTCGGTGCGGCCCAGCCACGAGGCACGAGTAGCGGCTGTTCACCAGCGCACAAGCAGCGGCGTAGGTCGGCAGCTCGAGACAAGGTAGGACGCCAGCCGGTCCTGCCACTATCCCTTCAGAGGCCGCCTTTGGCGGCTGGACCGCCGAGGACCCAGCAGCCATGAGGCTGAGGCAGCTTCCTCCGGCGCGCTCCAGTGACGTAAGCACAAGCGCGTCTTCTCTGGCGCCGGGCGCTACGTCAAGCAGCAGCGACCACGCCCCTAGGAATTTTATCTCCTTTCGCTGCGTTGTGTAGCTTTGACCAGAAGAGGGCAACTGCTTTTTCGGGTTTGGAGAGAATTTGTGCTATGTACTGAGCATGCGTCAATACCAATTCCCCCCCCCCTTACTTTTTCCCCTTTGTTTTATTTTTTAGTACATATTTACGATACGCAATAAATACATTCAACATGAGAAGTTGGTACATGCTCATATTGCGTCGTTTCTTTAGGGGAGGACAAATGTGTGTTTTCACAAACGACCTCACTACATTTAGTATGTTGGTGATGAGCTGCTTACTTTGACCATGTCCAGCAGTAATGTGCTTTGCTGAAATTGTGAAAGCATGGACTATACAACAACAACAACAACAACAACAACAACAACTGTGTAGTATATTTAATACAATCCTATGCAACAACCCACATGCCTGCCTCAAATGCAACAGTTTGATATCTCACATTCAGATTTTCTTCTCATTCTGCAATGGCTAAATCAGAGAATTTTATCACTGCTTTCCAAGTGGCTCAGCCCAGCTGTTTTCTCAGGGCTTTTGTCTTGCCCCTAAGCATCTGATCAGCCCTAAGGCCTGTGCCACTCAAAGCGGAAACATTGCTCCATTTGGACACCTCTCTGTTTTTACTGCCAAAGCTACGAGCCTTCTTTTCTGCCTGTAGAAGGCCAGTTTAAGAATCAAAAATCACTGCAACCTGATATCTGAAGAAAAATATGATCATAAAGTGCCCTGTGTAAAGCACATGTTCCTTAGGGTAATCTGCACTCCTTGTGGTGGCTCCTAAATCACTAGGCCATTGCATGATGCACCTCCACTGCTTTCCTAGATTTATCACAATCAAGATTATCTGCATGCCACTCTTGCTGTGTGTCCACTTTAAACTCTCACAAACACAAACTCTCTTCCAGCCTCTAGTCTTGTGCTTTTCCTTCTATAAGAGTCTAAAGCAGCTTCTCTTATATGGGTAAATTCAATTCATGTTATTTTTTAGATCGATTTCACATTGTTTTCCTCCACAAAGACAATTACATAAGTCATCTCTTGGTCACTGACTACACCCTTCAGGTAAGATGGATATGAATGGGCTGCAGATGATTTAAACAAAAACATTGTTAAAATGCAATTCAGCAAAAATCAGGCTGGACAGTTCAACAATGGTAGCAAAAGATTTACTCCAGTAATTATTTTGAGCAAAGAATTATTTTGAGCACCTTGAAGTGGTTTTGTTATCCTTCATGTGTCCATTAGATGATTTTTAAAATTTTTAAAAACCTGAAAGTATTACAGTGGAATTTGGTGAAGCACTGGAATTAAGAACTGCATAACGCTTTACATGTTTTCTATGAAGATTAGTCTACATGAAATTGCCATAGTATCAGGTGGCTTTTACTGTGTAACAAACTATCCCCCAGTTTTCAGTGGACTCTCATAATTGTTGGGGAGTACCTGCCTAGAGCACCCACGGAGGATGCAAATTTCAGATATGGTTAGAAAAATGACTAAAAATGTCTATTTTTGTAGTTTAAACCTTAATATGCTATGTCCTTCCAAGTAATGTAATTTAACTTAATAAAATACCATACTAATAAAGCCTTAGAAAGTACAGGGCATTTGGAGGGCATCTTGGAAAACTTAGGGCTTTAATAAGAACCAAACCACTGAGAACACTGCAGTGAAGCAACCTGTTATGATGCTGGGATTTTGGTACATCCGTCCCGTTGGGCCAGGCAGCAGGCAGTCAGCAGCAAGGAGAACTGAATAACATTCTCAGATTGGCTACATGCAAACCTCCAGGGCCCCAAAAACAAAACAAACAAAAAGCAAAATAAAAACAAAAACAATTTCGGAGGATATCTGCAGTTTCCCCAAAACTGCGGGAATTTCCGTGAACCATTAGTAGGATCTAACAGAAAATCCACCAATGACAAAGTGGACAAACTCTGAATTGTGGCTTTGCATGGGTGTACTGCAGTGGCTTTCTATAACAGCCATTAATTAAACTCATACATTTGTGGGTACCTATTTGGACTTGGTTCAGCTGGTCTTGCTAGCACATATGTGGTCAGATGCAGCTCCATGAATCTCATCTTGAAGTAGACCAAAGTGATTTTGCTTTCCTGGCATCTGTGTAGATTTCAGAGAGAAAAGGAAAGGAGGAAAAGATGGGAGGGAGAAAAGTAGAATAAAAGGGGGAGAGGGAGAAAGAGAGAGATACTGGAGAAATATTAGGAAGCACTTGTCTAGATTCTGCAACTTACAGTGCAATGCACGGAATGCTCTGATCTCACATACAGTGTCCTATGCCTGAGAGACAGGAGATAGAACTTCCGTGCTTTGGAAATCCCTAAATCCCATCCCCCTCCAAATTCTGGAAAACCAGCAATACTATTACTGGCAGGAAAAGCTTTTTCACTTACACCTGATTGATTTTTATCAGACTGGTAGAGTGAGAGATGTTTGCTAGCCAACTTTCTTTCTGTCACTATGACAGTCCCTGAGATACCAAAAGGAAGATTTATTTGTGTTACAGTTTCAGAAGTTTCAGTTTGTTGCTTTTGGCAAGACAGAACAGCATAGCAGGGATCATAGTGGCCAAAGCCGCTCACTTCATGGCAGCTGGGAAGCAAAGACAGGAAAAGAGATGGGACCCCTTCAAGGGCACATATTAGTCACGTAGCACCCCACCCCCAGTAGTAGCACAGGCTTCAAACCAAGCCTTGCACCCATGCCTTTGAGGGAAATGTAAGAGCCAATTCATATCATTCATCAACCCAGAATAACTTTATTACAAACCGCATCTTCATTACAAACCTGCTAGCAACTGTGCAAAATGCCTTATAAGATCACCTACATAGAATCTCTAAGAGTTTGTCATAGTTGTAACATATTTTAAAGATGAGAACATTGGATTATAGGAAAGATTTGAAAGTCATCCCCAGCTGGTGATGGCATACACCCACAGTCCCAGCAAAGTGGGAAACTGAGGCAGGAGAATTGCAAGTTCAAGACCAGCCAGGGCAATGTAGTGACATAATGAGACCCTGTCTCAAAATTAAAAAATACAATAAGGACTGGAGATGAAGACCAGTGCAAAGGCCTTGGGTTCAATCCCAAATCAAAAGGAAACTAGAGTAAAAAAGTAAAGCCATGCTGATGGGGAAATTTAAGATTCAACTCATCACACTCACCATCACCACAATCAACACAATGGTTGATCATTGTTATGGCTAAACTTTACCATACTCTGTGCTAAGTGCTGTGTGGAAACTGTCAACACAAAATCTTTATGAGCTAACTATAATTAATACACATATTTCAAACAAAGAGATTACATCTTGAGGAAGATTAAAACACCAGCCACAAAGTGGTGGTAACCTATCTGAATTATTAACAGTGTACACCTAGAACCTAGCACAAATTTCTTGAGTGAGAAATGAATGGTTTTCCCAAAGACCCACAGCTGTTGATTAATTGTGGAATCTTAAGTTATACAACTTATGTTTTGAATGACTAAGACTCCTCACTTTTCCTATGCATTTGATCAAAGCTAATAAAAGAATTGAGTCAGGAAAATAAATGGCTTATTTAGGCTCTGCTTAGAAATATTAAAGTGAGAATCAGACTTGTAAATATTACCATTTTAATAGGCTTAGAAAAGTGTGAAAAAATAACACTGGTTTTCGCCAGGACACACGTGCTGGTCATCTTGCAGAAAATAATTCCAGAAACATGATTTGTAGGAACCAGGGACTAGAGACAGGTCGTGAGCACAAACTCTGGCTTTGACACCTTGGTTGACTTAGTGTTTTGAAACTTCAACTGCCTTCTCTTTAAAAAAATATAGCGCTATGGTGATATTGTGAGGATTTAACAAGATAATGACAATGTAATACTATGTAGCTATATTGAGTAACTGCCCTGTGTTAAGTGTTCAGTAATATTTCTTTAAATCCATGTTTAATGCCTAAGATAAGGTGTCATTTACTCAATATGATTAGGACTTTAGAGGTCAGCTTAAAACCAGAAATTCTTAAATGGTATTCTTGAATAATGCGTAAAAATTGGAGCATGTTCCGGTTCCAGTTGTCTGACAATATTTTTTTTTCCTCTTTGGAGATAGTAGTATGTTTAATTTCAGCTCCTTCCCACTAAGTAAATTATATGCATGAACATTTGATTCAGCTCAAAATAACAATTTTAATTCAGTATCCTTTTAAAATATATCATTGATGAAACTCACTCTAAATATACATAAACATACTGAGATACAAATTTGCAATTTCATTGTCTATAGAATTAAAATTGCTCCATTACCAAGGAGCTATTTGAAATAAATGTAATTAGTTAAGGACATGCTTTCCTTTAAGTAGTCAGCAAATTTTGAAATATAGTGCTTTTCACGGAAGGACATGTTTAAAAATTTCCTAATGCATTTAGAAGTGAAACAAAAGCAAAAATCTGAACACCTTATATGTCAACTATGCATTCAAACCACTTGTAATTCACAATTCCGTCAGCAGATGGCAAACATGAGCTTTAAAAGTGTAATGTTTCACCTCATCCCCTTACTACACCATAGATAAGCTAAAATGGCTTGTTTTTATCTACAGTCCTGGAAGAAACAAACTTCTGACTCTGAAACTTCTTCCTACTTGCTTGTTAGTTTACTAACACTGATAGATGCAGTACCTACAGATGATGAAAAATTAATTGCATATATTTTATTGAGTTTAACAGAGTTTATATTTTGCACACTGTAGTTTCTGCTGCAAAAACATGGAAATTAAATTACTTAAATGAATATATCTGTAAGATCTAACTCCTTAGTAAGATTAAGTTTTATTGGTGGTCTTCAAGTTAGGGATTTGGACTCATGGCACCAAAATCAGCTGTGATCTGGTTGGAAGGGAAATTTTTCAAACCCTCCCCAGGC